AAAATTACAATGCTGATTCATAAACATTACAAATTTAAACGGAATAAACAATTACAGAAAGAGAGCATATGTGTGGGCTTTGGAGGTAATGATACAGAAAATTGTAAAAGCTTACTTCTTAGATATCTAAGCTTCTCTTGCTTTATCGCTAATACTTACCGTCTCTCTCCATGACCAAGATTCTCCATACCGTAATGCCCGTTACTTTTTTTTTGCAAGTATATTAAATTTTTTTGCACCTTTTAATTCTACATAAATAGAAAGGAACAGTTTTTTTTAATTGCATTTCTGAAAAGAGCAGTTTTTAATACGCCGATTCCATTAATTTGTTTATTCAATATTTAATTGTTCTCGGGCTAGGGTGGCGTTGGTGTTAGAGACTATCCCGTTAGTTTAAGTTTATTTTTTCTTCGTATCTGTTAGGTTCTCCCAGCGCAGAACTTAGAGAGGATTGGTGAGTCCTAGTTAAATGCTTCGAGTCAAGAGGCTAATATATAGTGTCGTCGGTCACCGGGGTTCCCAGCCTTGCGACAAACAACTACGCTAATGTCGTCTGCCAGTAAATTACTGGCTTGGTTCAATAGTGGCTGGCTTTAGTAAACATAGTCTTTTAGTCGACAAATCGCTTTCGCAAACGGTAGTAAGCATGTATTTGTTGGCAAAGTATTTTCACGTTAGGTAGCCCTTAAAAGAAATGATGAGATTTGTGGTTAAGTAGGTAACGTAAATACTTACAATGGACCTGAAAAAGTATTTTATGGTTCATTAAAAGGTTCATTAATAGCCCCGCTCATCATTAGTAGGGCAAGTGGGCCTGGAGAATACCTTCTCTGTAGGTGTGCAGTTGGGACGACCAATAAGGAGGCCGTTGTGATTGCCCGTACTCTTTAGGGGTGTCTTCCCTGACTTTCATGTGGAATAGAAAATTCTCTGACGGCACAAGGCCGGATGGTTGAACGGACACGAAACTCTGAACTGTTGGAGCATGTTGTGCTTTGGCTAGACAAGTCTCCTCGAATTGCACCAGCAACGTTGACGTCCCGAACGACCTTTTGGTTGCTGAAAAAAGGTCGTAGCGACAAAAAGCAGTCCTTGCCTCATGCTGGGTAGATTAAATGTGTTTGTTCCCGGTGAGCTTTCTGTCGAAGGTGACGCCGAGATACTTGAAGGAATTGCTCCACTTTATAGGACGGAAGTTGACTATAATTGAAGGAGGAGTTCGGTTTCGTTTGGAAAGAAATACAGCTAAATTTTTACCGATGGCTGCACTGGACGTGAATGGCACTGCACCTGAAACGCGAAAAATACCACCGCTTAACAACGCTCGCCGCTCGGCCAAACCCAGCTCGGCTACTGGAGACTCACCTGGAGGAAGTCCCACCGGTAGTATCTTGTCGGGAAGCAAGCTATTCTCCTAGGAAAAAACGAGTCACACGACCTGAAAGAAGACGCCGTCTGGAAATGGTAAACAAATAATGACACAAAAGGCAGGTTTCTCGGATTGTTAAGATCACTTTATTCGGTACCACAATTCTGCGGGCGTCTAGGCCCGGAAAATTTCGGTGCGATCCGGTGCTATGCCATGGCACGATTTCCAACGATCACACCTCTCTCTTACCCGCTCTCACTCTAACGATCTCTTTGATGCCCGAACCAAGAGGACGGCTCCCGCAGCTAGCCCTGGGGGCCTATTGAAGCAACGAACGCTCGCGTGAGTGAGCAAGTGAGCGCGCGTGAGTGAGCCCCGGAGCCCGTGGGAGGGAGCAAGCGCACGGTAGCGTTGAGTACCACTGCACTCCCACCGACTACTCACAAGGCGTGAAAATTAAAAAACTACAAAAATATCTCCCATTCTACTACTAAATCTCCCAAACCTTATACTCTAATAGAGTATATCCTTATTATTCAGATGAGAGGCAGGCAATACAATATCTATTTTTTTAATAACTCTTTAACTGCACACATAATTATCTGGATTAACGACTGACATTGAATTTATTTTGTAGTTCTCGTAGTAAGTATTTACTATTAATAATACTACAAAATCATGTTCAGATTTTTATAAAAGCAACAACAAAACTTATTTGTATTTTTGTCATTCAAGAGCGAATAATACGTACCTGCATGAAACCCTATCTATGACTCTTAATACTCCTAAGCCAATCGATTTTAACCTAATGCAGGGGACAGCCGTACAGTCAATTATTAATAAAATATTTTCAAATAATATGCAATATAAACAAATATCATAAGAGTCTTAGAAGTTTTAATAGTAAGTTGTTTTACTTGTGAATTGATCTTATTATTTTTTAGGTGGTAAGTAACATTTCCACTGTAAGTTATTATTAATGCTATGGATAAAGACTCCAAAAGCCAGGTTTTATATTCAACGCTGCAAATATAACAGAACTTTATAAGCTCAGTTCTGATAATCTATACACAAAACTGCTGAGTTTACAAGCTTGCTGGTTAATCGTTTATACATTATTATATAATTTTCTTATGTGTTGCACTGTACTCCATTTATATAGTTTTTTGCTAATGGCAGGTATTAAATTGATACCTTTTGATGTACGTTTTTTTTCGTATTCTCTCATTTACCATACTATTAAAATGATACACATTTTCTTTTTATATAAGGATTTGTACACTAATTTTACAAATACTACGCACTTTACAATTACTTTTTACAAATACTATGACCACTGCAGTTCGGGGCGTATAGTGCAAAACTCTATCCGATAGTATACTCTTCAACTTGTTTTTTAATATTCCAAACGTCCTTACAATTACACTTCTAGTAGTTTTCAGAACTCTGTTAAATCGATTTTCTGGTGTATTCAGCTCTGTTCTGGCATAAGGTGTTAGTAGTACGGGTGATAATGTGTAGCCACCATCACCTGTGCATACAAAAATTGACTTACTTAGTGATTAGAGATATTCAAATTTTTTTTGAGCAACAAACAATTTTTTGTGTACTTTCATAATTTCAGGTGATAATATAAGTAACCCAATACATACACATACCATCAACAAATCGTACTAAATATTTAGACGATTATTATAAAAATCAAAAAATGTAAGAAACTTTGAAAATTTTAAACGAGTTTTTAGCAAATCGTAGACAGTCAGTACTGAGTTGCGAAGTCACAGAAGAAATTTAGCTTCAACTTATTTACATTGAAAAGCAACTATAATTTCTGTGTCTTTAACTATCATAACTTTGCTTCAAGCTTTTATGTCCAGTATTTAATTTATTTCTATGAAGAAATTATGAATAAGCTATAGCATTATTTACCGATTAGGTAATAAGTGTCTTAATTGCCAATAATATCATCTATGTTTCTTAATCCATACATTATCCCTCGTATATCGCTACATGCCCAGATGAAACGATCATAAGTTGAGCCACTGCATATCCTGAGATTTCTTATCTTATGCTCATTATCCCAAATCCGTCAACACATTTAAATATACATAGTTGTCATAATCACTGGGTTTCGATATTTTACATTTCTTATTTTATATTTTTATTCGTACAAGAAAAATAAATTACCATTTGAACATTTAAGGAATGATATCTTCGGTCATTCACGTAAGCCTCTTCGTGATCTGCTGGTTTTACAATCTTTATTAAAGTGTAAACTCAGCAGTTTTGTGTATAGATTCTCAGAACTGAGCTTATAAAGTTCTGTTATATTTGCAGCTTTGAATATGAAACCTGGCTTTTGGAGTCTTTATCCATAACATTATTAATAATAACTTACAGTGGAAATGTAACTTACCACCTAAAAAATAATAAGATCAATTCACAAGTAAAACAACTTACTATTAAAACTTCTAAAACTCTTATGATATTATTTGTTTATATTGCATATTATTTGAAAATATTTTATTAATAATTGACTGTACGGCTGTCCCCTGCATTAGGTTAAAATCTATTGGTTTAGGAGTATTTAGAGTTATATAGACAGGATTTCATGCACACGGAAAAAGAAATCAAGCATCTGTAGCATGAATACCATCCATATATCGACAGTGTGAGAGAAGTATTGGGTTAAACGCATCGGTTCACATAGCAACACTGTGCGATACAGGTATAGACGGTATGTGGCACCATCCACCAGCCAAAGCTCAAATCAAGCTTCTCGGCGGAAGCTACAGCTTATCCCGCACACGGATTAGCTGCGCGCACTACCTCTTCTCTCTCGACTCAAGACAGCGCCTACCGTAAGGTAGCGAACGCTGCCACACATGACGCTCGATCAGCAACGCCGACGGCACGCGTCTCGTCCACGAGCAGCGAACAGTTTAATGCAATGTAGTCTCTTCTTGTTTCATGATAAATAAAAGTTAAGTTACTCTTAACCCATTCGGTCGTTCATTCCATGACCTGCTTCGCACCTTCGATATCCTTGAGCATTGGGAGAAGCTCCAAGCTCCGCAGGGCCGCAGGCATCACCGACGACAACCAGCGCTACATCCTGCTCGTTGGAGCCCTCAGCGGACCAGCTGTTTCCGAACTCTCGGACATCATCGCCAACCCCCCAACGACCGGACGCCTCAAGGCGATCAAAGACGCGATTTTGGCCCGATTCCAGAAAACTTCCGACACTCAGCTGCGCAAGCTGTTTGGCCAGTTGCAACTGGCAGACTCCAAACCGTCTCAGCTCCTGCGCCAGATGAAAAACCTCGTGGCTGGCAAAGTCACGGACGAGATCCTCAAAATCAGGTGGCTTGGCCTTCTTCCCCCACAGGTTAACGGTATCCTGCGGATTATGAAGACAACCACCTTAGACGAGCTCAGCGCCATGGCTGACGAGCTCATCAGCTCGGTCCCGGCCGTGAACACCGCTGCCGTGACTCCACCATCCACGTCCCTCACTGCCTCGGTCGCCGCCGCCGGATCCGGCCTGGCTCAAGAGGTCGCTGACATCCGGAAGATGCTTAACGACTTACTCCTCGATAAACAGCAGCAACGCGGTTGGAGCCGATCCAGATCGAGCTCTTGCGGGCGGAGCAACCAAGCAGCCTCCACCGCTGACAACCCAGATTTGTGCTTCTTCCACCAAAGGTTCGGCCCAGCGGCCCGGAACTGCCGCGCACCCTGCACCTACGTCGCGCCAAAGCCGGGAAACCATTAGGGCGCCCTCCGTCACAAGTGTCGGAGGCGGGCCACCATGATCTCTCAGAGAACCGCCTTCACCTCTATGACCGTGAGTCTCGAGTGTACTTCCTGGTTGACTCAGGCTCCATCATTTCGCTGCAGCCAAAGAACCTCATCAAGGACCGACAGCTGCAGCCCCAACCATTGACGCTTAGTGCTGCCAACGCAACGCCGATAGCCACCTTCGGCACGCAGATCCTAACCATCGAGTTTGGCCTCCGACGAGCAGCAACGTGGAGTTTTATCGTCGCCGATACCCACATTGCCATCATCGGTGCCGACTTCCTCGCCCACTTCGGCTACTTCGTGGACGTTAAGGGGAAACGACTAATCGACCCAACAACTATCCTCTCGACGCGCAGGCGCGCGGCGCCTTAGCGCCTGCAGCAATCCACAGCGTGCCGGTCATAACAACACCAGAGCGCACACCCTCTGGATTCTTTATGCCATAAAATAATCGGTGGCTATAAGAAGCCTTTGATTAACAGTTTCTCCCGTGTAGTTCACGAAACCGGCTATTTTTTAAAGCTGTTAAGATTTTAAACCCCCTAAAAATTTATATTAAAAAAAAAATTTTTTTCTCATATCTCACAACTTTATTACCAGAGCAACAAAGTCCTGGACCTTAAACCCTACATTTTTATTGCCACAAAAACACAAATACATTTTCTACTCATTAAAAAATCGAAAGTAGGATCTTTAAAGATTTCAGAGATTGCTGTGAGGGTACAATGAAAAGCTGATCTCTCACGTAATGGACTCTTTAGATTATGCCATAAAATAATCGGTATCCATGGGTATCTGGGCCAACGCTACGTGGACCTCTTCACAGGATATGCGGACCTCTGCTCACTGGAGGCTCTTACCGCAGCTCTCCCAGACCTGCCGGTACACCACACCATCCATACGACTGGCCCCCCAGTCTTCAAGCGATCTCAACGTCTGCTCGGCCCACGCCTGCAGGCAGCTAAGGAGGAAATTGGGCGACTACTCAATCAAGGCATCGTCCGGCCATCGTCCAGTCAGTGGGCGAGCCTACTCCACCTCGTCAAGAAATCCAGTGGAGGTTGAAGAGTCACAGGGGACTACCGGCGCCTAAACGCCTGTACCACCCTGGACCATTACCCTCTGCCGTTAATCGACGATCTACTTCAGGAGGCGACTGGTAAAGTTTTTTCGGTCATAGACCTGAGAAAGGCCTTTTACCAGATTCCAATCACCAAGGAGGACATTCCGAAGACCGCGATAGCCACACCGTTCGGACTCTACGAATTCACCAGGTCCTCCATGGGTCAACGAAACGCCGCTCAATCGTTCCAGCGGACCATGGACCATGTCCTATGCGACCTACCGTTCGTCAGGTGCTACCTCGACGACATCTTCGTGGCTTCCGAGGGTCACGAGCAGCACCTGCAACACCTGCGCCTGCTCTTTGACGTTCTGCGCAAGGCGAAGTTGCGCATTAACCCGCAGAAGTGCGTTCTCGGTCAGCTCGAGGTCGACTACCTGGGCTACACCGTCTCTGCTGATGGTGTCCGCCCCCCAGCCCACAAGGTCAAGGACATCCAGGACTTCCCGAAACCGGAGAACTCTTCCGAGCTCCGATGATTCCTGGGCATGGTTAACTTCTACAGGCGCTGCATGCCTGGAGTAGCCAACACCATGGTCCCACTCAACAATCTTTTGAAGGACCTGCCACCAAAGAGCAAGAAAGCCCCACTTGGTCGGAACCGCGACGCTGATCTCGCCTTCCAGCAGTGCAAGGACCACTTGACCAAAGCAGCCACGACGACCATCCTCAAGCCCGATGCTCCGATCGCCCTGAGGACAGACGCTTCGGACACCGCAATCGGCGCCGCCCTGGAGCAGGAGTACCCACGTGGCACCTGGAGGCCACTCGGTTTCTTTTCCAGGAAGCTGTCCAAGGCTGAGGCCAACTACAGTGCCTACGACAAGGAGCTGCTAGCTATCTTCGTAGCCATCAAGACCTTCGATCGAGTCCTCGAAAGACGCCCTTTCACAGTCTACACGGACCACAAACCTATCGTCTTTGCAGGCTGCCAACGCTCGGACAAGGCCTCGGCAAGACAGGCCCGACAGATTGACTACATCCTGCAGCACCAGGTGATTCTCTCTCACGTCAAGGGCGAGGAGAACGTGGTGGCAGACTCGCTTTCACGGATCAACGCCGTCGCTATGCCATCCATCCTGGAGCAAGAGGTCATTACAAAGGCCCAAGCCAACGACTCCGAACTTGGACACCTGCTCGACGACCCCCGCCTCGACCTTCAAGCCCTGAAGATCGATGGCCAACAGATTCTCTGCGACATTTCGACTGGGAACGTGAGGCCATATCTTCCAGAGACTCTTCGCAGAAAGGCATTCGAGGTCTTACACAACCTCTCGCACCCTAGCATCAAGTCAACCGCACGCCTTGTCTCCGAGAAGTGTACGTGTCCCAAACTACGGAAGGACGTAACTCACTGGGCACAGCAGTGCAAGGCCTGCCAGCGCTCGAAAGTGCACAGGCACAACCGCTCAGCCCTCGGCGACTTCAACGTGCCTGATGGACGCTTCGAACACATCCACGTCGACTTAGTGAAGCTCCCGCTAACCAAGGGATTCCAGTACTGTCTAACCATCATAGATAGATTCACCAGGTGGCCGGTCACCGTTCCCGTTCCCGACCAACAAGCAGTGACCGTTGCCAAGGCGCTGTACGACTGCTGGATCGCCTGCTTCGGAACGCCGTTGACCATCACATCGGACCAAGGAGCCCAGTTCGAGTCAGCGTTATTCACTGAGCACACCAAGATGATTGGCTCAAGTCGCATAAGGACGACGCCCTATCACCCGCAGTCAAACGGGATGGTAGAACGTTTTCATCGTTCATTCAAGGTTGGCCTGATGTGCTGCACGGACGTCCCATGGCCCGACGCACTTCCTTCGGTGCTCCTGGGCCTCCGAACCTCGTTCAAGGAGGACCTCCAAGCATCTCCAGCCGAGATGCTCTACGGCACGACCCTCAGGGTGCCCGGTGATTTTTTCACCGCCCAGAGCCACCCGAACGTCAACCCGCCGTCCTTTGTCCAAGGCCTTCGACGCCTCACGCAGGCCATCAAGCATGTCCAGGCATCGAGGCACCTACCTCCACAGAAGCCGTTCATCTTCAGCGATCTGCAGAGATGCTCTCACGTCTTTCGCAGCATCGACGCTATCCGGAGACCGCTGGACTCTCCATACTCAGGGCCACACAAGGTAATCCGGCTCATCGACGAGCGAAACTACACAATCGAGGTCAACGGCCAGCCCCGTACTGTCTCTACAGACACGTTGTAGCTGGCCTACCTCGAAGCAGCCGACCTGCCTATCACTGGCAATGAATCGCTGCTCCTCAGCTCTCGCAACCACCCACGTCGGTTACAAACGGCCTTCAGACACAGGACCATTCAACGCGGCCTTTGGCCGACGCACCGCCTTCCCAGCTGGACCAACCACGACCTTGCCCAAGGTCAAGAAGGCCATATCGTTCTGTCTGCACCCTGCAGACAACACTGCGGAGGAGGTTCCTGTGGCGCCATCCACCAGCCAAAGCTCAAATCAAGCTTCTCGGTGGAAGCAATAGCTTATCCCGCGCACGGATTAGCTGCGCGCACTACCTCCTCTCTCTCGACTCAAGACAGCGCCTACCGTAAGGTAGCGAACGCTGCCACACACGACGCTCGACCAGCAACGACGACGGCACGCGTCTCGTCCACGAGCAGCGAACAGTTTAATAAAATGTAGTCTCTTCTTGTTTCATGATAAATAAAAGTTAAGGTACTCTTAACCCGTTCGCTCGTTCATTCCATGACCTGCTTCGCACCTCCGATATCCTGAGCATTGGGAGAAGCTCCAACGCGACATCATAATCCCAAAGGTATAAGATGCGCTCAAACGAATGTAGTATGGTCTGCTAGCGTATACACTGTGACACACATGGTCGTAGCACGTGGAGCCCACGCGCAAAGTGTTTCGTGTGTACTCATACTGATTTTAAATGAGAGACATGCATGAGATGCACAGGCATATCAGGTATTCTACGTGCCTATCATGGGGTTGGTCTTTTTTACTGTGCTTACTAAGGTATACTTAATCTATTAGAATACACATTACTGTAAATTCAAGGGCTGTCCTATGATAAAATATTACGTAAAAAAAATTTTTTATATATTTATATGGCAGAAAAATCCTAATAATTTTATATAATTAAGACTTAATAATAGACAATTCTTTGGATATAAATACGGAGTTCCAACTTCTACTGATATTAACCGATGTGATTGACATCATAGTACATAATTAGTTAAATCAATAAATTAGTTTACTAGGTAACACAAACACAACACTTGTGACCTATACCTATACAAAAATGAACTGAGTGGAATCATAGTTCATGCTGCATAATCAAGAACTTATTGTTTANTATGGCAGACAAATCCTAATAATTTGACATAATCAAGACTCAATAATAGACAATTCTTTGGATATAAATACGTAGTTCCAACTTCTACTGATATTAACCGATGTGATTGACATCATAGTCCATAATTAGTTAAATCCATCATTTCAACACATAGTAGTAACAAAAAATGATTTTTGTATATACCTAAAGTAATTTTAAAAAATTTTACAAAAACTAAGAGGAATATTTCTATTGGCATTGTCAAACTGTTTAATCTTTTCGCGCTGGTACAGGTGTTTATTAATTTACCTTTTGCCGTATAACCTTCAAAATTGTAACGTATACTGATGTTGTTTCGGTGATTGTCTCCGCTCTCTCTCTCTCTCTCTCTCTCCCTATATATATAATGCACTCAGCGCAGGGTGTTGACAAATAAAGTTGAGCACAATTCACATGTAGTACACTTGAACAAAATATTAGTAATTAATGATGAACAATCGCCACATTAATTTAGTACTCATTAAAGAAATAAC